CAGGACCTCGAAGTCATCCACTTCATTGTCATTGAGGGGTCTCCGGAAATTTGGTGACCAAATTCGAAGAGAACCCGAAAGCCCAAAATTTTTGGCCACAGTTGAGAATGGGTCACTAGCTATCCAATGAAGGGTAGGAAACTGATCCCTCAAGGGTGTACGACCAACCCATTTATCATCCCAAAACAGTACCCTTGTCCCATCTCTAGGGCGATAGCGAATATACCTCGAGAATTGGTCTCGGCACCATAAAACAGATCTCCAAAACCCAGAAATAACACCAATGGTCCTGCAGTTGGGACTCTAGTGATCTTCCGCATAGCAATATTTGAATTTGATCACCTCTCTTTAAAGGTGGTTTTGATGAGTGGCGTATCTCCACCACCACTTGCCTAAGAGGGCAGCTTTGAGGTTGGGCTTTTGACAAGCAAAGTTTAAGCCATGCGACTAGCTGGAATTTGTTCCCATGCTCCCCACCCCAGAAGAAATCCCTCATCATCCGCTCCAATCTACCGGTTACTGCTGCCAGGATGCGCAATAAGGACATTTGAAATACTGGTGTGTTAGCTAGAGTGGCTTTGATGAGGGTTAACCTTCCTGCCTTCGACAAAAATCTTCCTTTCCATCCCGCAAACCTCTAGTCAAACTTATCAATGATATGGCTCCACTGAGTAAGTCGTGCCATCCCAAGGCAGAGAGGAAGGCCAAGTTAAGACGAGGGGAACTTCTCAACTGAACAACCCCATCTATCGGCTAGAAATTGAATGAAAGATGGGTTAGTGCAAAACCCCATCATCTTGGACTTGTCGACATTTTCCTTAAAACCGGTGGCAATCTTGAAGCACCTGAGATAAATCCTTGTATCAACCTGCTGAACTGAAGCGTCACAGAAGATCAAGGTGTCATCCGCGTATTGAAGATGGGAGGTAAGGGTACCCAGACTACTAGATTTGAAACCACATAACAGGTCTGCTTGGTAGAGCCGCGCGATAGAGGTGCTAAAGACCTCGGCCACAATTACAAGAACGACGACAAAGGATCTCCTTGGTGGAGTCCTTTGGAAGCAGAGAAGAGACCTTTTGGGGTTCCATTAATGAGAAAGGAAAAGAATGGGCAAGAGATGCAACCTCTGATCCACCCTCTCCACTTGGCCCCAAAAGCCATCCTTCTCATAATTTCATCCAAAATATCCCAATCAACATGATCATAAGCCTTTTCCCAATCTAGTTTTATAACTAGTCCTGGGGTCTTCAGACAAGAGTGAGAGTGGATACACTGATGTGAAATAAGAGCCCCATCCAAAATTTGGCGGCCCTTGACAAATGCATCTAGGGTGGGAGAGATGACCGAATGAATCACAGCCCTCAATCTGGAAGCAACGACTTTGGACAAAAGTTTGTAACTGCTATTGACCAAGCTAATAGGTCTAGCGTCTTTCAACTCTTCAGCCCCTTCAATCTTGGGGATTCATGCGAGTAAAGTTGCATTCATAGCTTATTGATGACCCCTCTAGAGGGAAATTCCGAGAAGAATTCCAACATATTAGGGCGTATGAGCTCCCAAAAGGTTTTGAAGAAGGTTATAGGGTAGCCATCAGGCCCGGGAGCACGATTGGGGCTCAAATCCTTGAGAGCCAACAAAATTTCAGTCTCTGTAAATGGATGTTCAAGCCATGTCACATTAATGGGAGAAAGGTATCGGAAGGTTATATCGTGCATAGTGGGTCTTGGGCCGTGGCATGACGAGATTAAATTGGAGAAGAAGCGCACTGCTGCCTGCTGTATTTGATGGGGTTGGTCTAGGACCACATCATTGACCTTGAGATGGGTAATGGAATTTTCGCGTCTCCGTTAGTTAGATATCTTATGGAAGTAGCTTGAGTTCCATTCTCCCAACTTTAGTCATTTGAACCTTGGTCTCTGTGCCAAGTAAACCTCCTCCTTATGAAGAGTGTCGTGGTAATCAAACTTGGCTTTAGCACGCAGATCATGTTCGGCTGGTAGCAGATGTCTTAATTCCTCCTCAGAGACCCAGGATTGACTGTCTTGGATCAAAGCCTCCTTTCTGCCCCGAAAGTTCCCCAGGTGCTGTCCCTTCCAAATTTTCAACTTGGATTTCAGCATTTGCAACTTTCTTTGTACCCTGAATCCCGACCATCCTTGTACTACAAAGGAGCTCCACGAATTCGCCACAAATTGATTGAAATTGGGTTCCTTAATCCACCAAGATTCGAACCTAAAGGGCTTCAGGCCATGCTGGACTGCATGAGTATCGAGCAAAAAAGGCGATGATCGAAGGTTGTCTTGGGTAAGGCTGTCGAATGAGTACTAGGGAAAGTGTGATCCCATTCCAGGCAGGTGATGAAGTGATCAAGCTTAGAGAGAGAGTGGTTAATGGAATGGTTAGACCAAGTAAATTGGGCTCATGCGAGGGGTATGTCGATGAGGTGATTGTGAGATATAAAATCAGAAAATTGCACCATACTCGGGGATATGGAGTGGTTTGAATTGCGCTCATGAGACCAACGTGTGACATTGAATTCTTCCCCCCCCCCCCCCAAACACCAAGGGGCTCGGGACCTGGTGGAGATGGCTTGTAGTTCAGCCCAAAAGGAAGGCCTAAGATTGTCAGCATTGGGTCCATAGACCGCAGTGCATTTCCAGTGTAGCCTATCAGAGAACCTGGAAAGGGTCACTGTAACTGAGAAAAGGCCTACAACAGAATCTAGCAGATCGTGTAGGGTGGGATCACAAAGTATCCAGATGCCACCCGAAGCACCTTGCGCTTCAAGAGCAGTCCACCTGCATTGCCTGAAGCCCCAAATGCTTCGAATATCAGAAAGAGTGGAAGAAGGCAGTTTGGTCTCACATGTAGCCAAAAGGGAAGGGGAATGCTTAGCACACAGTTCTCTAACTGCATTTCTTTTTAGAGGTTGGCCTAGGCCACAGACATTCCACATTAATACTTTCATTGGGAGAAGGATGAGGTATGGGTCCTCCTTGAGCAACGAGGGAGTTGAGATGGGGTTGCCGAGGTTGAGTGGTTCAGAGCAGAAGGATGAGGGGTAAGGGATTGAGGATGTCCAGAGTCATAGTTGACTCCAAAAGTTAACGGGTTATCCAATTCCCTCTCTGAAATTTTTTTTTTGGTTGTGGAGGATTAGACTAAATCGGCATTGATGAAGTCTTCTAGGGCCTCTGGGGGGCCGTCGAATTTGAAGCCCATCATTCTCATGACCTCTTGAAGGTCACCTTGTGCGCGGAGCAAGTCGTGGAAGAAGGTGGAGTCAACCGAAGTCACAGAGTGAGATATAGAGCTTGAGGGGGAAAGCCAAGAGGAATTAGGAGAAAGGGTTGACCCCTCTGAGGGAGGAGCGCCACAGGGTGGAGGGCTGTAGTTGCAAGAAATAGGGGTGGAAAGTCGAATCCCAATCTTAGGAGGCTGTTGTTCGACCACACTTCCCATTTTCTAATATTTTCTAGCTTCGCTTCAAGTGCCTACCTGCCAGCAGTGTCAACACCATCATTTGGGTGCCTAATCCCTCAGGACAGCTCTCGGTTGCATCCTTCTATGCGTAGCTCATTCGCTCCACACCCACAGTCCCACCCACTCTCCCCTTAACCAACCGAGTGTGGCTCCCAAACATCCCTCCAAAAATAAAAATTTTCTGCTCGCTAGCCATCTTACAAATTGTCCTAACTGTTGATCAGCTGCAATCTAGAGGTCTCCTAATACCAAATATTGCCCTCTATGTAAATCAGCAGCGGAATCTAATGAACATTTGTTCATCCACTGTGACTGGTCCTCCCTCCTTTGGGCTGATATATTAAAAAGTTTCAATTGGTTTGGCCTTCCCCATTCTCCACCTCCCAGCTTTTTTATGGCTTCTTCTCCCTACCGCGGCCCTCTGCTATTCTCTTCTTGTGGCATGCTTCAGTGCAAGCCACCCTTTGGGCAATTTGGAATGAGAGAAACTGGAAAATTTTTGAAGGCAAGGAAACAACGCCTATGGCGGTGATGAACCGCATCACGGCATGGTTATTTTTTGGGCCACAAACTCATAAAGCTTCAAACACTGCACCACCTTGGATTTCCTCCAAAATTGGCATGCTACCTTGGAAACTAGGCCAGCCCACATCCCTCAGTCCTCCCTTTCGTGCCCACAAGAGCAAGTAAGAATTAAGTTCAACTTCGATGGTTCCTCTCTTGGCAAACCCGGCCCAGCTGGCTTAGGTGGACTCTTCAAGGACCACCTCGGTAACACGCTACTCTCCTATTTGGGATTCATTAGAGTTGAGGATTCCACAACAGAAAGCCCTTGTCCTCTTGGAAGGGATCAAATGTTTCTGCCCTAATTGGTCTAATGCCCTTCTCATCGAGGGAAACTCCAAGAAGGTACTCACTTAGGCTAGACGACCTCTTCCTGTCCATGGCGTCTGCTACTGTGTTTGATGAGCGTTTCAAGCTTCATAAACAATTGCATATTTCCTATTGATGTACGCGGCAGGAGGCCAACCACATAGCTAATACCCTTGCTTAAGCTGAAGATACCTCAGGAGCTACCATCAAGACTTCATGCTGAGGGTTGTCTCAGCTCTGTTAGTTGCCCCACCTTTTGCTTAGTGGGTTAGATGGATTATCCTTTTTCGTTTTTCCTTTGTACAGATATTCCATCATTTTGTGTAGTGTGAGATAAACCCATTTTTTGTGAGCTGTACCGAGCACCCAGCCTGTGGGTGATCTGTACTCTTTTTCGTAACTCATCTATTCTAATACAAAATAGTGAACTTCCTTTCAATTATTTTTTTTTAAAATGAAACTAAACATGCAATTGCTTCTTTCTCACCCAACAAAAGAAGAAAACTTAAGGGGGAAAAAAAACAATGAAGCATCATGAGAAAAACCCAAACTAGCTCTGAAAAGACACTATTAAACTGGAAGGAAAACTTGATTCAATGGTTGTGTCAAATTCAAATTGCACAGTTAAAAGAAACATTTACGCTGCATCAGGTGCCACTCCAAAGTTGCCTGATCCAGGAGCAGTTCTCTGATCAGGTTCACTACAAAGCCGCACATTTTTTATCGAGCTACATGTCCTCTCAATAAGTTTGTCAAACGATGTCAATTTCATAAGAGAGAAGTCCTCTCTGCAAGCAGGTATAGGTGCAAGATTGCTCTTGCCACCTGCCATTGTTGCAGCGTCAATTGATGAACTGCACGGGAAAAATAAAATCACTTAAAGCAATGACCAAACAATACAAAGCAAGAATTCAACTTGAATGATGTGACCCGTGGATGAACTTTTTTACAGATGCAACGTGTTCATCAATTACTTACGACGACAATCATTTAAACTGCTCAACATGCCAGTAATGGAATTCCATAGCCACCTGTTAACAGGAACTGTCTCATCTGGAACTCCACACACATGGAGGTAATAATCAGAGTCCAAATCCCAAAGAGCTGGTTTTCCTTCTTGAGGTTGAAAATAACCCAAGAACCTAAAGCCACAACAATGAAACCCACAATGAGAGTGATACCATGACTAACTAGTTACTGCTACAAATACTAGTTATCAGGCGTAGAGATTAACAACATAATACAACTCCAATCTAAAAATCCAAATATCCAGATTCAAGGAATGAGAAGAGTGGGAAAATACAGGTTTATGGCATCTTGTTTTTCCCCATCTGTGTAGGCATTGCTATAGTAGCGCTTTATGGACTTCAGAAATTCACGGGATTGAGTAGTAGCTTTCCATTTACCCTGCCTCTCAGGGAAAACCTGAGATACAATGTAAAATGAGTGATTTCCTGTTTGCAGTGGTCCAGATCCATCAAAAAGTTTAGGGTGAATAACAAAACAGTCCCTGAAGTCCCAAACACGAGCATATTGTGCAGGAATTCCAGAAACTTGGAACTCCAAAGAACGCTTCCTGGACCGGTCAACTTTTCTCCAAATGATTATTTTACTCCAGTATGTTCAACAATGAAAATGTCATAATTCAAGTACCAGATCAGAGATATAGTCATTTGGAAAATGATCAGTCCAGGTGTCGTTTTGATAGTTCCCAAAAAAAATTTGTATTATATTACAAACCCACCAAAGTGCCTGGAAATAGCATTACGAGAGAATGGAACTAGTAAAAGACGAAGTTCAAATCCCAACAAACAGAACAAGCAGTAATTGAACCAATCAAAAAAATTCAAAACCCAAGCAGTTATGGGAAACATACAGTGTTATGAGCTGCAGAGCCACCATATTGCTGAGCAAGAGCATCACCCATGCCCTGGTACATGTCCATAAGAGCAGCAGCAATGCTACTATCGGGATCCACTTTGGGAACACCTGTCAAACCCATTGCATGTAGTTGGCGACCCAAGGCAGCAAGGCCATAGGCATACTGTGCAACATTTGTGCGATCTAAGCAGTCAATGCAGTTTGTACGCAGAACTCCACTCTGGAATCGAGGTGCATTCCTGGAACCATTGTTTTTTCTTGTGTTTTGAGAAACCTCGTTGTCTTTGTCCCTAGTATTCATTGTGTTTAAAGGTTCATTGCTATTGCCTATTTTGACAAGATCAACCGAACCCGTTCTGAAATCTCCTAAGGAACTATCTCTGCATAGTACACAACAATATTATGTTTGGTCAAAAGGCTAGCAAACAGAATTGCATTTCAAGGGAACTCAAGATGAACAATTTTTATAAGTTATCTGAGATAACTATCACTGAAGTAGTGAGAAGAGATATGGTGACTTATGGCCTAACTAAAGGTATGGCCCATGATAAACCAAAATGGAAAAACATGATTCGTGCAGCTGACCCCAAATTGTTGGGATAAGGCTCAGATGATGATGATGATGATGATGATCTCAAAAAACTATCACGATCATTGAGCAAGAAAGTATTTGAACTATATAATATTTGAATTAGATGGCAGGTAACTGCTGATAGGGTACCCAGTTATGACTTGATAACTTGGCCAAAGGTTTTAAAACCATGACGTGTCACTCAGATGTCTGCCTGCATTTTCTTTCAAGAGAGAGAATAGAAACCACATTGTTCTCAAGGGGTGAGAGAGCACTCCTGAGTATTTCAAACTCTATGGATTTCCAATTTGAAACTCACTGGTCCACATTCCTCCCGACATTTCTGAACCACCAAGCCTCAGGAATCATAATAATGGGATAGAATGGTTGGAGTTTATGGAACCTGGAGTTACTGACACTTCAGACCGACCCATATTGGATGGGGAGAGAGAAGGTTGGGAGTGTGTGGAAGACAGAGAGAGAGAGAGAGACTGCAGCAGCAGGAGGAGGAGGATGGGAGTTGCTATCTTTGGGATAGGTACAGGATGTACAGCACATGCCAGAAAAACCAATGTATCCCTGTTATAATATATTATTTGATGTGAAAGGGTTGAACTGGCATTAGTCCATACAGAATGTTGAAGGAGAGAAACAGACAAAAAAGAAAAAAGCCATTGAAAAAAGAAAAAAGAAAAGAAAAGATATTGAACAAGTACAGTTACAGTACCACTTCGTATATTTTATATTTGTGGCATTTCAAAAACTTCCATAGGACTTTTGCAGGGTACACTTACATGAGCTGGAGATAAATATAACATAACATAGTACAAAACTCCACATAAAAGGATCAATGTGCCCCTATGGGTCACATCCATCTACAGTCCCCCAACATGGTAAGAAGGGATAGCTTATCCCAAATCATTTACAGAAATATTAAGTCAGAGAATAGCCTAGTTGAATGATTACTGTTCTCAATTGAGATCACTGGAACATTTAGGGCTTTCTGATAGTGAATGCTGGAAAGATAACGATAACAGCTCTTTCAAATATATTAATAATCTCACATACCAATTGTCCTCTCCACTAACAGTGCAGGATTTTTTTTATAATAAAATTGCTGAGTATAGTTTAGTACATATTACATATCCATGGGGCACTTAGTCATTCAATCTTCACTTAGAATGCCGCATTATATTAAAAGGATATTTTGGGTTTTTCACTGCTATTCACTATGATGTGCAAGGCTCAATCTTATATTCAATTAGTGAGGGATGTTTCTGTGCATTTTCCTGATCCTGCTTATCTTCACAAAATGACACCTGAATAAAGAAAATGAGACATTATAGCACTTAGAAAACCTGGCTAACCAAAAGTACTGCTTAAAAGGGGATTGGACTAGGCTTTCAAAAGCATCTAAAATCATCACTTTGAATTGGAACAGGTACCCCTAGGCTACCTGCCCAAACTAATCTAAAGCAATTGTAACAATACCATGAATCTACCATATAGAACTGACATAAAAAACATTCAGCAAGCTTGTTCCCACCCTTAGTTACTGAATAAGCAAACTGGAAGTGGCACTCTTGCTCTAGAATTTATGACTCCTAAATTTCAGAACCCGTGGACCATTGGAGAATTGTCATGATACAGGCACTCTCACTTTCTAGGATCTTGCAGTATTAAGTTATCTAGGACCCCAAAAAAATTTCGTTCGAATGGCATTAGGCATGTCAAGTCCTGAGGTTGTCCCAAAACAGTGTCCTACTCCATATGGACATCTAAGATTAGAGTTAGACCTCTCCAAAATCTGCATCTATAACATGATGAAACAGAATTGACCTCAGAGGAGTTCGAAAGTAAACGGCTCACTATTGATTTGATTTCCAATATAGACAACAGATACAAGTACCATCACACAAAATTAAATTGACCGCATAAACTGAAAACTAGACTGTGAACAGACAAAAAAATCAAAAGAGACCCATATAACAATAGAAAAATCAATGCAAAAGTGAATTAATTTGATGAGAGTATAATCTAAACCTTGCAGTACTTGTTCGACTAAGTTGGTTTGCTCTCTTTTTAACTACAGCAGGCTTTCCGCTATAGTAGAATCCAGTTAAATCAAGTGCCTCACTGGCTACAGCACCCAGGACAGCCAAAACATTGGCAGACTTGCTGTAAAAGAAACAAAAACAAAAAAGCAACTGTCATCAACTGACACAGGATATACTTTATCCAAACCCCCCAAAGCATAGCAAACTTTCTTACTGCATAATTATAGTACAATGCGAGGAAGTAATATGATTCATAAATCCATACCTCTTTGCAAACTTATGGAAGTCCCAGTGAATAAATTTCAACTGATTTTCTTCTGAAATGATCTGGTTTAGATACCCAACTGCATTTGCAAACTCCCGCCGTAGCATCATTTCTCGAGGCCTTTTCTCAACTGTCTGCAATTTCCACCATTCATTAGACAAACCAGATCAGGCAGTAAGGACTAATCAAACTGCAACATCTCCAGAGTATCTCCATTAGATCACAACAGGGAAAAAACAATATGTATCAAATTTTTCAAAGAACCTTCAACTTATTTCATTACAATAACGAAGCAAACTATAAAGATAACTGATAAAGTGAGCCTAGTACATATCAAACAATGGGAGGTGAGAATTCAAAGCAAATCACAATATGGTTAAGATATTCATTTTTTAAAATTATAGACATTTTATGACCACAATATTGGGATAGAATTTTGATGAATAGACCGAGCAGCTTAAGAAAAAAGTAAGTGACTAGCAAGTAGAAGTAGAACATGCTTCAGTGGTTGCATCACATCTATTTAAATAAAAAAATATGTGATATTGTGGAACATAAGTATTTGCAACAAGTGAGTTGGATACCAAATTGCATCAGAAATTTCAAAATATTGGATTCTCACTTTTCTCATCAGTATGCATTTCCCAATAGTTATTGATAACTCTAAATTGAAGCAATAAGACATCATAATAAATGCAAAGCATAAGAGGGAATGCAACCCAGGCGCTGGCATATAAAATAGGGATGCAGAATTATCCCAAAGATGACATTAACTAGCTTTATCTCTAAACTGAGGATGGGGATGTATGAATAAATATAACCAAATGCTAGAATCCCAAATTGGAAAAACCATACATTTATCCATGCAATGGAGGGAAGGCTCTTCCCATTTACTAATTCATGTATTTATAAGACTCAGATATTAATCAAGAAGCTTACAGGAATAATATCAATTGGCACAAGGTGTTAATCTGTCATTCTGAGCATCTTAAGTAGAAGTGACTTCCCACTACTAATTACTTGCAGGTTTTCATTTTAAATTTTAAAAAGACAGCATTTTATTCTGCAGAAATCTTCCCAACACTAAGTACTCCAAGGTTTTCATTTTAACTTTTAAAGACAAAAAGCATATTATTCTGCAGAAATCCTGCAAACGCACAGCCCTAAGATGGAAGATATTTCATACAACCTCAAGTGTTTACAGCTATCTCAGAAGACAACCAGGAGCTGCAGAGGTGAAGTCAATGTCATCATCGTCCAAGCCTTATCCCAACTATTTGGGTTAGCTACAATTAATTTAAGAAGGAATTGGATCTCCATTACAGCTGCAGAGGTAAAGTGATTTAGCCAAATAACACCAAATTCATAGGAAGACATCAAGAAGGCCTCAAGAATCTCTTAGATACTCCACTTCATGGACCAGCCCACGGGGAAAAGTACATGACTAGAGATAGAAGCCACCCTAAAGGACAAGGTCCAAGGAGTACGAAGACAAGCAAGAAAAGGGATGCATGCTAGCACAACGGCTTTCGCACTAGCCATTGCTTGTTGGCTTTTGAGGTGAAGACAAGCAAGAAAATGGATGTGTGTTAGCACAACGGCTTTCGTGGACATATCTGCCCTTAAAAGAAAGGCGATAAAGGAACAGGATTCAAGATCATCATGGGTGCAACTGAACTTCTAAAGAAGAATACCACCAATTAATATACATTTTTATTTAGAATCTTCTTCTGTCTGTGTAGGATTAACAGCAACCGAAGTCGAGTACAAGGTCAAGAGAAGGGGGAATTCAATGTTGCTGCAAGGGAAAGGATAAGAAAAATATCCACAAGGTGCAAACAAGTACATGAAGTATTGATACCAGGAAGTATCCATAATAAATTATCCTAAGCAAGACATGAAGTTTATGATTGTACCTTAATTAAGTTTAGTACAATAATTGGGTTGCCGTATCTTCTAGCAAGATCCTCAAAATGCAACTTAGTAGCCTGGTAAGTTGGATCATACCTTTGCACTGATGCCAAAATAAAAAAATGAATCAAAGTTTCTACTACGGATAACTGCAGACTTGAAATTTCAATGAGGCAATTCACCCCACACGAATCCAACAAACGACTGCAAAGAAAATTAAACTTTCTTTTGCTTACAAATTATGTCTGGTTTTGGACTAAATCGGGATGCTTCCTGTGACCAGAAAAGGGGTATAGAACCTCTCATCTGAACTACAGAGCTCATTTTACCCTTGCATGACCCAGCTTCCTCATCAAGGACTATCTGTTCTGTCTCAACATCATTTGCAACTCTGCCCCGATCATTTACACCCCGTTTCAAATATCTGCAAAGCACATAATAAGAAGAGCACAAAAATATAAATTGAAAGTCTAATGTAAAATAAATACTCCTGTTGCCATTACTTCTATAATTCAATGATTATTGAAAAGAAAACATAGCGCAAAGGTTCAAAGCAATAAGAATGTCAAGCAAGAGAAAGAGAAAGGGGGGGCAGCGGGAAGGAGGATGGGGGGATATCACACTTAAGTACAGCAAAAAGACCTCGTGCCAATACATCAGCCGTCTCATCAATTCCTATGCACCTACACAAATGAGGTTTCATAGAGCTGATTCTCGCAAAAGTATTATCTATGATCTACAAAAAACTTCATCATCCATGGTTCAACTTGCTGAAACCCTATGACAGCGCATAGAAGTCCTCTATTCTCTGTCCAAAAACTCGGCCCTAACCCCTTTCCAATTGGCACCTATGAAACACCACTTATCTTACTATGATCTAGCATGAATGATCTCACCACTATGATATACACTCAATTAAATATCTTGATCCAAATACACAAAAGGATATCCAATAACGAATAGACAACACCCCCCAAATAACTAGATCCAGCTCCAAGAATAGGAGGGCCCCATTCATGAGACATGCTCCAATGGGAGTTTAATACAATGCATCAGTTATATAATTCAGTTTAGTTTACCCAGAAAAAAGATTTCATAACAAAAACATTAGAGGCTCTATATTTTTTCAACCAGAATATTTCCTGGTGTTACTTTAATTTCAAGAATGGATGTTACAACCGAACATATGTCATCAACAGAGACTGATTGCAAGCTTCCCATGCATTATACTGAGATGATAAATTAAAGGGATGGATAAAAACATCGTTACAAACAAAGTAATGCTATGCAGAGTTCCTTTAAATGCATACCGTGTTCCTGCAAAATGTCGAGAGCGTCTAGAAACAAGACAAACACTGAATTCCCGCCCAAATATGGACAACCTGACCTGCAAAGATAAAATATACAGAAATATCTCAGAACACTGAAAATGCAGTATGTCAATGTGTAACAGAAATCGAAGGTAACCAACTTAACATACATATGGACAACCCCATGCCCAAATTTCAAATGCGCATGAGTAGATCAGAGGAATGGATAATTAAAACAAGTGCTGATATAATCTCACAGCATACCAATTGTGAAATTCTCCTTTTCCCATACATGACAAGAATCTTAATAGGCCTACCGGGTATAACAAGGAACACAAAACTATGATTTGAAATGGAAAAATTTGGCATATTTTAATATATATTATACCATGGGGGAATCCAAATCCCAGAGGCTTTCAAAAGAAGTCTCTAATCCACCAACTCAAATGCTATCACAAATGACTAGTCCAGCAGAGCAATCTTTTACTGGCATCTTGGTGGGTTGACACAAGAGCAAGAAGGTTTGTCATCCATGTATGGGGTAATGCACCAACCCACCCCCGCCCCTAACCCCCCCCCCCCCAAAAAAACGAAAGACCCACCCAAAAAAGAAAAAAGAAAAAGAAAAAAAAAAAAAAGGGGACAAAAAACGCCCCCTGGGAGTGTCTATGAGACAATATCGTAGATACAGTTATATAGGTTGTTGGATGATTTGATCTAAAATCTGAGAACCTGGCCCACCAGATATTTTTCAAAGCATGGCAATAAATGAAAATATTGGAGTATTGGACATAGCTCTGCCAAAATAAGTTTTCTTGGAAACTCCTTCAGATTCCCTTATTTAAAATGATATCATGTAATATCATGAGACAAAATGATTATGCATTTTCAACAAAGAATACAGTGGATCCACTAAACTTAGATATGAAATTGATTGTGGGGGTTAATGGCCCTATATTGCACTGGTTTGGAGCTCTTAGAGCATTTATAATTGTGGATTCAAATCCCATCCTTCAAATTAAAGAGAAAAATATAGAACTAGATCATGGAGTTCCTACAGAAAATACAAAGGTTGTGGGAAAATTAAGTAAAGAATCATAAATTAAGAACACTGAGGTTACATGTAAAACTGCGAATAACACGCATAATATGGAAAATAAATGGATTACATTGCAATCACTTTCCAAATGCTTTATATGACGCTTTCAAATTGTTTAAGCATTCTATTTCAGAAGTTAGTAATTATTCATATTGAAATGCTTATGCCATTCACCTCACCCAGCATCAGCCTACCAAATGCTTATGTCATTCACCTCACCCAACATCAGCCTACCAACATCTAGACAACTCTTCTAGTCCAAAATAACTTCAGCAAATAACTCAGTCCATAGCTTACCCAGAACTCAGTAACAAGCACTGCATTTAACAGCAATGCACCCACACATCTAACAGTCATTTGCATGAACGGATGAAATCGACAGCATTGTTATGGCTGCATAGGTGACTGACAATGTGGACAAGTCTTCATATCATTAGGTCGACTAAAAAAGGGTCATGCAATCCCATCGGATATGAAGAGCAAGCATAAATGTTCTAAACTTCATATAAAATAGAAATGCTAAACAACCTCCCATATCACCAGGTCCACCACCATACGGTCATGTACATATAGATTGCTAAATAAGTTTAATGCATATGGAAAGCAAATTTAGGCTTAGAGATAGCCCTCTATAAATATGCTACATTAAAATGAAGATTTCATTAAATAAAATATTAGCACATAAATTTGAGGAAGGCTGCATAAGACCCACCCATGAAAATAGCCATTAGTGAAAGACAAGAACCCTTCTCCCCTGATGCTCCTCAAATTTTCTTATTCTAATTTGATTATCACTAAGATCAATAGAGTTACAATAAAAAAACTGATCAGCAATGTCAAAATTGGTAGGAAAAATATTATTTTAGGAGGATTGGGCAAGAACTCATAGGTAAATTTTATTTTTGAC